ACCCTCTTTAAGTGCACTCTTTTCATTTTTTTTCCTATGGTCCCGAGGGGGTGCACTTAGGGAGGTCTGACTGTATTGACATTAATATAAATTCTAAGCAGCGATTACGTAAGTACTGGTTCGGGTGGTGTTTGCACCTTATTTAGGTTCCGGGTTAACTTCCCGATGACCCTTTTTTTGAAATACCATTTCACCGAAGTCGTAAGACTGAAATCCATTTACCAACAGGACATAATTGGGTCCGTGTCATTTCACCAACAATCAATTCGCTGAGAAGTTTATCTCACCGACAAGTTTTTTTAAAAGTTGCACTAACCTTTAATTCTAACGGGAATCTTTTCAGTGAAATGACGGTCGGTGAAATAAACCATCGGAAATGGGTCTTATCGTGAAAAAGGGATATCGGGAATTATGGGTCGGAGAAATAGCATTTCGGGAAGGTGGGCTTCGGGAAAGTGAGCAAAAACGCCTTAGGTTACTGTACGTACGTACCTTATTTATTAGGTTAGATGATCTACATCCACTTTTATTTTTAAGGGAGTGTTAAGTACTTGTTGATTCAGTTATGGTTATTATTTTATGAAGATATCAAGAATACAGTTTATGCAGCATGTAGACTAAATATAGCGGACCCCTATCTTTTAGTGATAAAGTATGTAGATTAATACAGAGAACTCCTATTTTTAGTGGTAAAATGATTTAAGCCCAGCACCATAAATGCATTTGGAACCCGACTCTGGGTTTTAAGTTTATTACTGATCGGATTCAGTTCCTGAAAAATCAATACGTGCGTACGTACACAAAACATAGTCAAATATTGATATCCAAATCAACAATATAATATATTACACGCAAAGTAATAAAATATAAATGAATACAACTGACTCTTGGTATAAAAAAATAACCGGGCCCGGCCAAATCTTTTTTATATCGAGGTTTTCTTATATTAAAGATAAATTTCAATTGGGACTTGTAAAATCTTTCTTATATCAAGAGTTTCTTATATTTAAGGTTTCTTATATCGAGAGTTCTTCTATACGTATAAATAATTATCATAATTTGTGTTATGTTTTCGTGTAACCGTGACAAACTTTTGGAGGCAACTGTATTGGTATGTAGTTAATCAAATTTTTCAGGAGTTGAGTCCGATAAAAAACATACGTACGTACTTAAAAACCCAGTCGGGTTTTCCCTTGGCGTCACCCATCTATAATCGTAAAAGAAATAAAAAGGTTATTACAGTCAAGGATTTTTCAAATTCGTGTAACGCAGATCATTTCTATTTTTGGGGGTCGTCTAAAGCCGTGTCAATCACATGACATAGAGCCAATAGAATTGTTTATTTTGATCGACACGGATCAGCCCGAAGAGACAAAAACAACGAAAAAAAAGTGAAAATCGCAAAAAATACAAGAAACGACAGTCTAAACCCATCTAGGTGCATTAATAAAAAATGTCGGGAGGACAATTTTACTATAAGACCTGCCCTGACCCTAACCCCAAACTAACCCTTAACTTAACTTTAATAAAAAATCAAAAATACGTGACTGGACACGGCTTTAGACGTCCCCTATTTTTGGCAAAAGATCTTCAATTGGCAAATTCTTTTTTAACCCACGGATTCCTAGACTACATATTCATAATATTCATAGAATAACTTTTGCAAAGGTTTTTTGTTATTTTTAGATAATAAACAGCGCTTTTTTTTAAATAGAAATCGGTTTTAGCTGATCATTTCTACTGTGATTATAGAGAGGTCGGATTTATCGATTATGAATAATCGTATTCTTCTACAATTATCTCTTCTCGAAACCATATGATTGAATTTTTTTTTCAGGTTGCGACATTTGACAGCCTAACCTTTTTTTTCACTCGTTGGCAGGTTTTACATAATATTTGGGAACCAATGTTTCCATAAAAAATCATTTAAATAAACAAATATCGCACAACAATATTAGTTTATCGATAGATTTACATATAATTCAGTAAATTTGATTGGCTAACTATAGAAAGGTTGCATCATTAGATCCGTTTATTGATTTTGGCAGGACTGATATCGATCATGCTTTAGAAATAGACTATAAGGATAAATTAACATTTATTATGGATAGGATTTTTATTTTCATTTTTAATAAGTGCCTCAAAGCTAGTTTAGAGATTGGTTTTCTCATTTGTTTCTTTATGCTAGGTTAATTAGGAATATCAATATTGATCTCTGCGATGAGGTTTCACAAATAATTAAAATTTTCTCGACTAAACCTTATGTTGCGTTTTATTTGCATTTATAGTGAAATTAATAGAATGCACAGATTTGTTTTGGCGCATTTATTAGTTTGATTTTATATAAAACGAGGGGAAAACGCTGTATCGTACATTTCAACTGAGAATTCCACAGAATCAATTTATTATAATAGATATGGATTCAAAAGACCCCCCTCACGACCCATCGTTGTTTAAAAGATTATCTTACCAACGTGGGTGGGGAAAGCCAGGTAACTTTTTTTCTTTTTAGATTTAATTTGTAATAATAAATTAATTACTTTTCTATTTAACCGAATTTATGTTTGTTAAAATTCAGATATTTTGCATTGTAAAAATTCTGTAAGTATTAATCCTACAGTTCTAATCTATATCTTATTAATTTCAATCAACTAACGTATACATATTAATTAAGGTGTTTTTAACGATTATTCCAATCCTTATTGTTTCGACTGCATTCACTTCCATAATTTGTACATTATTCATTATCTACAATATTAATATAACTTTACCGGGAGAATTGGGTAAGAGCTTATATTCCTTCCCTTCACAAATAAATTAGGATGACTTATATTTACTATGTATATCCATTTAGTCGGTACTGTTACTGTTGTGGTCGGTCTTCTTCTGGCTTTTCGTACGAACCATGCTTATGATAGATATTACGAAGGTCGAAAATTATTTAGCAGCTTATGGTACGTGCAAATAATTCAAAAACCTATTATCATGTAAATAAGGGTAAAAAATTTATGTTACTATATACCATAGTACTCTTGCAAGAAATAGCACGCGAATGATTTGGATCGGTGTTAAAGAAAATACAAAGAAAGAACGAGAAGAAAAAATAACATACATCAAACTTGTGTTGGCATTTGTTATTGCCACCAAGCATCATCTTCGTTTGGAATTTGGCACTGATTATAAAGATTACGAGGGTTTATTACCTTCGTCATCAAAAGGTTTTCAACGTACAAAGTTTGATGGTAATGCTGGCCAAGAGAATACGGAATTAGGCTGTGGAAGCCTTGAGGATCCGAATCATCCTGATAATCTTGCTCAACAAGACTCCACTCCAGAAATCAGTATATATATTGAAGCGAATGAGTCTACTCGCCTTCTTCCAAAATCCCGAACCCAAGACCCAGTGGCGTATTTAAGAGATACTTTGCGTTTTAAAGATACTTTTCGTTCGCTTAGAAGTGGTCGAACTCATTCATGTGATATTGACGTGTTGACATGGGGAACCCAAGATCCGAAAATGAGTTTTCCGATGGTAAATTTCAAAAACAAAATTATTATTACTATGATTAATTTGCATTGCTTCGATTTTATTATATCATCGGTCTTCGTTAATTATAGGAAATTGTGTTTTATCTGGGTTCATATTTCGAACAACTGGGACGTGAAACAAAAATTGAATCCTATAGACTTTGGTCAGTCTTGGACCAATTTATAGATATTCTAGGCAGTCTTGAAAGAATTAGTAACACGCCCATTCCTATAGCTTACAGAGTTCATTTGTAAGTAATGTTGGGTTTTCTATTTTATAATTTCATCCCTTTAATTAATATCATTATTATTCATTACTTTAGGAAGCAAGCTGTGACTTTGTAAGTTATGATCTTTCTTATATAAGTTCAAATCATTTTACGATACTAATCGTTGCATTTTTTGTCTAATGATAGGTACGTTTGGTTACTTCCATTCACTCTTGTCGATTTACTTGGATGGTTAACTATTCCGGTTATCTTTGTAATTTCCTTTATTCTTTTTGGTGTTGAAGCAATCGGTGAGTAGATTAATTATTGTCTTTTATCTTTGTAATGTATGAGTTCTGACGTAATGCCTCATGTAAATAGGTTCTGAAATTGAGGATCCGTTTGGTAAGTTATAGGATTGCATATACGTACTTGAGTTAGTGTTTCAAATGAATTCGAACCATTTCGTCCGGCAAAATTGTTTCGTGCTGGCGAAATATTTCGAAAAACTATATTTGCAAGTTAAATCGAAATTACAATCAGACCAACCTCTAGATGCAACAAAAATGCAATTTTCCTTATTGTTCTCTAAATGCAAATTGTTAAAGGTTTGGTCCCTATGAGTTTCATTTAGGGAGGCTTGACTGTATTTCGCTCTAGCAAATTATGTCTTAATGGCGATATTTCGGACTAGAGATTGTACCCGGGTAGACATTTTTATTATATATGGTATAATAAATTACCCGGATAACCGAGTAATTTAATAATACCCGGTAGAAATTTTCTTGACAGGTACAATCTCTATTTCGGACTTTGGAAAGTATTTAGCCCAGAAACACTAACTTTAATCGTAACTTTTTTTGTGCGAATTATTTCTAATTTTATTATTTTAGGTTATGATGTAAATGATTTGCCTTTGGACGATTACTGCAAGGTTTGCACTTTTTTTAGTTTTTTAATTACATTTAGTATATTTAGTATATTAAATCAAGTGTTAACTCTGTTTTATAGAATTTGGAAGCCGAAATTAAATACTTATATTGTTATCTTCCAACGGGACAATCTGACTTTCATAGTTAAACAATGCAAAATCCGGTTCTTTGGTTTTCATAACTTTTCATACAATTTTATTAAAACATTTTGTATACATCAGGCACATATATATATATATATTTCTCGGCATTTAGAAAAATCGTAAATAAATAAAAAGCCGGATAAATTTAAAAATTTTATGAAATGAAGCATTAAAGTTACACCTGATCAAATTAAACCTCTGAAATTATTAAAGGTAAGTTCTACTTCAGTGACAACCTCAAACAAACTGGTGACATCTTCAGACATATACCAAACATTATCTATAAACGAGTCGCGAAAGGATATTGACATAAAAGGTAAAAAAAAATAGCACGGTCGGATTAGAGATTAAAGCCGTGAAATTATTACTAAGTTACTACATGTATATATATAACGGATAAGGGTTACAGTATAACGGATTTTAAGTTTATTATAAATTTGGTATGTGTATATTAGTAAAGAGATCATACCCGATTTTTAAAAGTTTTACGGCAGGACGAAATCCGCTAACGTGATCTACGTACATAGCGGATTTCACCCAGTCCAAAATATTTAATAGACACCAAAAATTTCGTTATATCCATCGATATACCTCGTATTGTAAGGATGAACCAGTTTTACGTAGCACTAGGATACAGTGTTGGGCTCGCTTATAAGTCAGTAAAATTGAACTGGAACTGGACTTATAGGTTCAGTGGTCCAGTTTATAAGTCGGACTTTTGGTCCAGAGCTAGGATAGGTTTTAAGTAATCTAACTAATATTGTAAAGGCAAAGTGCCCACCCAAACTCGTATTAATTTGGTTAGTATGATGAAAAATAAAAAACAACGCCTATTTCCATTATGGTATGGTATGATACGTATTCGTCAAGTTAGATTATCTTTTATGGTGCTGCATAATATGCATATAATTAGCCTACGTACTGCAGGGTTCAGCAGAATATGTATACGTATTGGCAAAACGGTGGCAATCATTTCATCGACAAATATCGACAATAAATTTTTATCAGTTGTCCCG